AAAAAAAAACAAAAACATCAGGTGTAAGCTGCGTGTCTCACAGAAATCTACTAGAATCCGCTGGAATGGATTGGGATATTTGACAAGAAGACAGTCATGAACTTGGAGAAGCAAACATCTGCATTCAATGCCAGCATGATGCATTTTGGAAATTCCCAGATTAAAAGAAAAAAAAAAGCGTCTTTCAAAATAATTTAGGTTAAGCAATCTGGGCAGGGAAGAAAGGAAGAGAGGCGCAAGGAACTGCTTCAAATCCCTTTTTTCTTATGACGCCTGGTCAGTTCAAGGTCATCCTGGCAATTTAATTTTAATGAGATGTGTGAGATGTGTTGGTTTGCCCTTTCCTCTCGAGCAGAGAGAACTGTTTTGATCTTCAGATCTCCCAGGACTAAGGCTGCCCTTTTCTATCTGCTCTGTCAAAACAGGAAACAGGGCTTGCCCCAACCACTAAAACATTCCCACCCTGCCACAAGATCTTGTTTCTTTTCTCTTTAGCTCGAGATCTTTCACCCCCTTTCAGAAAAACTGGATTATTTTTTTTGTGCTAGAACTGCCTGCAATTAAACCTTAATATCTTAGCAAAAAACCAACCAACCAACCAGGCAATATATTTAAAGCAGAGAAGAAATAACATGGCTATTAATTCAAGAAGAGACTCTAGAAGAAATCAGTGGTACAGATATAGTACAGGAGGGTTGGTGAAAATTCAGAAGGAAAAAATATCTGCTTTCTAAAGACAGAATCGTTTCAAGACAGGACAAAACAGGAAAGAAAGGGTACAGTAAGACTATCTTGGAGAGGATATTTCTGCTCAGCAAGAATTAGAAAGAATTTAATTCTTTACAATGAAAAAGTTCAGAGAATTAATGATGATGAAAGGAAGAATTGATATATACATGAACTGAAATACTTAACTACTATATGGAAGAATAATTAATAATGGGAAACCATTCTTGGAAGTCTGGACGATTGGAGACATTATGGTCAATTGAAAATATGAATGTTTTATTATAAACCAATGGAAATTCTTTGTCCCACTCTTCGCTTTTACTCTTTAGAGATAGGTGATTCTATAATAGTTCAAAGACTTATTGTTATTTGATAGATAATTATGAATTTAAGGAAATAAGGATTGTTACAAATGAAATAATATTAATGGTAATCTAAGTGTATAATGCTCAATGACAGCAAAACATTTAGCTATGTTTAATGTAAACCAGTGATGTTAATCCTAAGTTTAAGAATTGATGCACCAAAACTTGTAACCAAACAACATGTTTGATGAAATGGAGGAAAGTTGTTCCTATTTTCCTCTCTTGCTTTGTTTTTGTATGTGTTGTTTTGTTTAAAAAGAATCAAAATATATTTTAAAAAAAAGTTCAGAGAAGAGCAACTAAGATGATCAAAGGCCTGGAGACGAAAACATATGAAGAACGGCTGCAGGTTTGGGGTTTGGCTAGTCTAGAGAAAAGAAGAATTAGGGGTGATGTGATAGCAGTAGGGACGCGGCTCAGTGGCTGCTGAGCTTGGCGATCAGAAAGGTCAGCAGTTCAGTGGTTCGAATCCCTAGCGCTGGTAACGGAGTGAGCTCCTGTTACTTGTCCCAGCTTCTGCCCACCTAGAAGTTCGAAAGCACATAAAAATGCAAGTAGAAGAATAGGGACCACCTTTGGTGGGAAGGTAACAATATTCCATGCGCCTTCGGCATTTTAGTCATGACGGCTACATGACCATGGAGACGTCTTCGGACAGCGCTGGCTCTTCGGCTTTGAAACGGAGATGAGCACCACCCCCCTAGAGTCGGGAACGACTAGTACATATGTGCGAGGGGAACCTTTACCTTTATGATAGTAGTATTCTAGTACTTGAGGTGCTGCCTCAAAGAACAGGGGTCACATTATTCTCCAAAGCACCAGAGGGCAGGACAAGAAACAATGGTTGGAAATTGATCAAGGAGAGAAGCAACCTCGAATTAAGGAGAAACTTCCTAACAGTGAGGACAATTAACCAGTGGAACAGCTTGCCTCCAGAAGTTGTGGGTGCTCCATCACTGGAGGTTTTCAAGAATAGATTGGACAGCCACCTGTCTGAAATGGTGTAAGGTCTCCTGCTTGAGCAGGGGGCTGGACTAGAAGACCTCCAAGGTTCCTTCCAGCTCTATTCCGACTGAATTATGATCATAAGTCACGGGCTACCTGTGTTAGGCAGCTAACTCACAACCCAATGTGCTTGACCTGCATTTGATCCCAGATTCAATACTTAACACTTTAATCCCGTTTTAATCCAAGGGAAACATCTCAAAGAGAAAAGGGACAAAATCAAGAGCGAGGCTTCTTCCGATGTTTCGTAGTTTACCTGATCAAACTAATCCTCTCTGCTATGATCTCCGTGTCTTCTTTGGTTGGGGGAACATTTTCCACGAATGCAATGCCGTACAGCAGGAAGTTCTGCAGGAATTCTCTCAGCCCCTCGTTGGTTTTCAAGAAACTCTGGTAGTCGACCGAAGGCACTTGAGCTTCCTGGTAAATTTCGGCGTTCCACAGAATCCGAGGTTGCATGACTTGCTGCTTCTGCCCCTCGTAGCTGTTCATCAGCAGCCATTCCAGACCATATTTGGTCACGTGGCCATCTGGCCCTGGTGGCGATAGAGAGACAGACAGGGTTATGGGAACATCCTGTTCTAACCCAGGCTTCACCAGATCACGAAGCAGGCTCCTTGTCCCCGACAAAACCCCTTTTTATTAAGCTAATATGAATTCCTCTCATTGACATCCAGCAAAACAGTCTTTCAAGGGTGAATTTACCACCACAGACCTTATCAGGAGAGAGAGGGGGAGGGAAGGAGAGAGAGGAGAGGGAGAGAGAGGGAAGAGAGGGAAACAGAGAGAGGGAAAGAGTGGAGAGAAAAGAGAGAGAGGAGACAGAAGAGAGAGAGATAGGAGAGGGAGAGAGTGGAGAGAGAGAATTGACATCCAGCAAAACAGTCTTTCAAGGGTGAATTTACCACCACAGACCTTATCAGGCTTGGAGAGCTGCCAGGCTGATACATTATATTGCCAAAAATATTCGCTCACAATTGAGTCTGATTATGTGGATGGGTGAGCAAATACTTTTGGCAATATAGTGTATCTTCCAAACGCAACGCTGTACCAGAAAATACTTGGCAAGGACTCTCGAAGAAATCTTCGCACTAATTAAGCGAACTAATGGTCTCCTGCAAACTCCACTCCCCTTTCGCTCCTCTTTATTCCCTATAGGAGGGGCTTCTGAAATGTCGCAATTATTTATGTTTGCTATACAAGAGAGAGAGAAAAACTCCAGAAAAGTACTGTTGAACTGGGAATAGGTCATTCCCGCACTAAGCTTTGTCATGAATGGCCTTCAAAAATGGGCAGGATGAGGTCTCAATTCTTTACCTGGGAGATGGGGGCTTAATGGGTGCAATGCGTCCCCTGAAGGTCTCCAAAATCCTCCAAAACAGCTAAAATGCTTAGCCCTACCCAGCCAGGAGCTCTGGGATTGCAGAAGAACAGTTTTCTGGTTCCATGTGACCCTAGGCAAACTATTGAGTTCAGGGTCAATTGAATGACCAAAGAAGGAAGAAAAGAAACCATGAGAACAGAAGAATTCCTTCTCTAAACTATTCGCCAACTAGAGTATTTTTCCCCTCCACTTTCATCTTGAATAAAATCTCCAAGCACATTTGAATGTTGCAACAGCTTTACTTTTGCTATAAACACACACACACAAAGAGAGAGAGAGAGGAGAGGAGGAGAAGAGATAGGAGACAGAGAGAATGGAGAGAGAGAAGAGAGAGGAGACAGAAGAGAGAGAGGAGAGAGAGAGATAGGAGAGGGAGAGAGTGGAGAGAGAGAAGAGAAGGAGAGAGAGAGGAGAAAGGAGAGGAGAGAGAAGAGAGAGATATGAGAGAGAGTGGGAGGGAAGGAGAGAGGAGAGGGAGAGGAAAGAGAGGGAAACAGAGAGAGGGAGAGAGTGGATAGAGAGAAGAGGGAGAGGGGAGAGAGAGATACGAGAGGGAGAGAGTGGAGAGAGAGAAGGAGAGAGAGAGGAGAAAGGAGAGGAGAGGAGAGAGAGACAGGAGAGAGAGAGGGAGGAAAGGAGAGAGGAGAGGGAGGGAGAAGAAAGAGAGGGAAACAGAGAGGGAGAGAATGGAAAGAGGAGAGAGAGAGGAGACAGAAGAGGGAGAGGGGAGAGAGAGATAGGAGAGGGAGAGAGTGGAGAGAGAGAAGAGAAGGAGAGAGAGAGGAGAAAGGAGAGAAGAGAGAGACAGGAGAGAGGGGCGGAGGGAAGGAGAGAGAGGGGGGAGAGAGGAAAGAGAGGGAAACAGAGAGAGGGAGAGAGTGGAGAGAGAGAAGGAGAGAGAGGAGAGGAGAGAAGAGAGAGAGAGGAGAGAGAGGGGGAGGGAAGGAGAGAGGAGAGGGAGAGAAAGAGAGGTAAACAGAGAGAGGGAGAGAGTGGAGAGAGAGAAGAGGGAGAGGGGAGAGAGGAAAGGAGAAGAGAGAGACAGGAGAGAGGGAGGGAGAGGGGAAGGGAGATGGGAAGGGGGAGAGGAACAGGGAGGGAGAGGGAGAGAGAGAGATTTCCATCCCTATTTCAGAAAGAAGCAATCTCCAGAACCATCTCCCACTCTCCCTTTGGAGACACAGAACTCCAGGAACTCACAGGTGAGGAAGAGGGTGGTCTCGTCGATTCGTACCGCCTGGGGCTTGATCGTCAGATCCACACCGGCCGTATCCAGGCTGCGTTGGTTGGTCTTGGTGTTGTAGCAAGACGGCGAGCGGCAGTGGTCACGCAGCCAAAAGTAATCGAAGCGCATCAGAGTGTCCCTGTATTTCAGCTCTAGGAAAACAAGGTAAAACAAGATCGGTCAAAACGAGTGACAAAAAGAAAGCTTTCCACTTCCTCTTAAAACTAGGAGTATATTTTACCAGCAGTGCAACTTGCAGAATACAGAAGACTAGAATTAGAAGGGACCTTGGAGGTCTTCTAGTCGGACCCTCCACTTAAGCAGAAGACCCCAATATCTTTTCAGACAAATGGCTGTTCAATCTCTTCTTGGAGCTTTCAAAACTTGGAGCATTCACAACTTCTGGAGGCAACTTCTGTTCCACTGATAAATTGTTCTCACTGTCAGTAAATTTCTCCTCAGTTCTAAGTTGCTTCTCTCCTTGATTAGTTTTCACCAATTGCTCCTTGTCTGCCTTCAGATGCTTTGGAGAATAGCTTGACTCCTTCTTCTTTGTGGCAGCCCCTGAGATAGTCATGTCTCCCCTGGTCCTTCTTTTCATCAAACTAATTTGATGAAAAGACCCAGTTCTCTCAGTTCTTCATCATACAGTTTTGCCTCCAGCCCACTAATTATCTTTATTGCTCTTTTCTGCACCTTCTCTTGAGAAGGCAGGGGTGGGATTGACAAATGTTAGCAACTGGTTCTTTGCCAGTTGCTGGGTGGGTGTGGCCATGGTAGGCATGGACTACTCGGCCTCCTGCACAATGGACAGGGGGAAGGGAGGGTTTCGCCCTCTCCAGAGACTTTCTCTGAGCCTCCAGGAGGGCTAAAACAGCCTCCCCCGGGCTCTGGAGGCCCCATTTATGGACTTCAGGTTGGCCCGTTTTTCGCCTTCCCAGAGCCTCTGAGCGGGCTTACCTGGCATGATGAATGGGTCGCATGGAGACTCTTGGGAGGGGAGGGCCAGGGTGGGTGGGGCCAGCCAGTCCTTGCAAAATCTGGTTCGCCCAAACCGGTGCGAACTGGCTGAATCCCACCCCTGAGAGCAGCTGTCTCCAACCTTGGCAACTTTCAGACTTGTGGACTTCAACTCCCAGAATTCCTCAGCCAGCTTTGGAGATCCCTGCTCTAGAGGATCAACATCATTTCTGTAGGATGGCCACCAAAACTGGACGCCGTATTCCAAATATGGTCTTCTTGGGGGACAGAGGTCCAAATATGAGCAAATATACTTCCAGAAATGTCTGGGCCACACCTGAACACGCAGGTTGCCTTTTATTTTTTCATGGGAAAAATGTTCAGGAAACAAACTGCCCCGTTTTGCAAATAATTAACAACGGGCATTCACACTTGGTAATGTTTCACTCAAAGGAATTGACAGAAATAATGAAAGACAATTATAAGCACTGTCAGACAGCCAATTGAATGTAAGGCCCAGGATTAAAAGCAGGGGTGGGCTTTAAAAATTTCAGCAACGGGTTCTCTGTCTGGTTGCTGAATGGGCGTGGCCATGTGGGGGTGGCCTAGTCGCCTCCTGCAGCACCACGGGGATGGACGTTTTCACCTTCCCCGGGCTCCCGAGGCTTTCCTTGAGCCTCTGGGTGGGCGAAAACTGCTTCCCCCATGCTCCGGAAACTGGAAATGGGCCCATGTTTTTCCCCCTCCCTGAGCCTCCGTGCGGGCCCTGCACTTGCCTCGCATCCAAAACAGGCCGCATGGAGTCTCCTGGGAGGGGAGGGACAGTCTTGGAGGGGTGGGCGCGGCCAGCCAGGTGTGGGATTCGGAGGTTCTCCGAACCGGCAATAATGTTAGCTACGGGTTCTATGGGTAGAGGCGAACCCCTATCAGCCCACCCCTGATTAGAAACCAAAAGACCAAGAGTTATGGCCCTTCGGCCCAAAAGCCAGCTGCAGGACTTTGGACCGCTGTCCCTCCCTCTCAGCCCTGGGAAGGAGAAGGCAAGGGCGAACCAACTTCTGAAAAACCTTGCCAAGAAAACTCCAGGGCTCTTGCCCAAGCAGTGCCAGGAGTCCAGAACTGAAGGCATTAAAAAAAAACACCACCTTGTTAAAACCAGAATTAAAACAACTAAGGAAAACATGTTAAAAATAAGTAACTGGTCGAATGATTAATGAGTCAATGAAAACTTGCTTGGGCAGCAAATGCGTGATTAAATAGAAATGTTTTTTTCGTGCTCTGAAAGGCTAACAGACAGGGAGCTAATAGGAAGATCCTTCAGTATTTGACTGAGAAGTTCTGAAAAAATCGTGGCCTTTGCTGCCCTATGCATGACTTGTGACTCAGCCTAATTTCTTGTGTTCTTGTAAGCTTCCCCATTGCCTGTCTACCAGGGGTAAAATCCAGCAGGTTCTGACAGGTTCTGGAGAACCGGTAGCGGAAATTTTGAGTAGTTTGGAGAACCGGAAAATGCCACCTCTGGATGGCCCCAGAGTGGGGTGGGAATGGGGATTTTGCAGAATGGAATCCTTCCCCTGCCAGGCCCACCAAGCCACGTCCACAGAGCCGGTAGTAAAAAAAAAATCTAATTTCGCCACTGCTGTCTACTGAACAGGTTGCTCAAGAATCTAGCTATAACATAAGCGTGGGTATTTATAAAGCCAAGATGGCATCATGCGCATGAAAGGGACGTAATGAGAACATTTGGAGAGAAGGTTTGCAGGGCCCTTCCTTCCTTCCTTCCTTCCTTCCTTCCTTCCTTCCTTCCTTCCTTCCTTCCTTCTTTTCCTTCCTTCCTTCCCTCATTCTCTCCTTCCCTCTCTCCTTCCACTCCTTTCTTCTCTTCTCTCCTGTCCCTTCTCCTCTCCTCCTGTCCCTTCCCTTCCCTTCTCTTCTCCCCTCCATTGATAATGCTGGAATGCACCAGAGGATCAACTACAAGCATGGAATGCATAATAACATTGAAGAGTAGTCCAAAGAAGACTAGAAAGGAGAAGGGGCAGAACATAGGCCTTTGGAAATGAGCATGCTCAGGCAGCTGGCATCCAGAGCAGGAACTCCCACCACCACCAATGATGCGTAAAGGTGCTCCTACCTCAGTGACGTGCGGTGAGGTTTATGGCTGGTGAGGCAGCAATTTTTTTAGACTTATGGACTTCAACTCCCAGAATTCCACAGCCAGGCTTGCTCAGTTCCGATTTAAAGCGACAGCATTTGTTTTTCTCCTTTGCTAAATAAGTTTCCTTCTTTCTTTTTCTTTTTCTTTTTCTTTTTCTTTTT